GCTGCTGCTGCTGCTGCTGCGGCAGAGCAAGTACCGAGACTTGCTACTGCCAATACATCCATAACATGCTGCTGTGAGCATGTAAGAAATATTGCTGCTGGTAATATAACATACATGAAATAACCCCATGTAGCATACATGAATCACCTCGTAGCAGATCTATACAGGTGGAGCTGGGGAAGGTGGAGGGTTTCTGAAGCAAGCTGCAACTGATACGGCAAACACTAGTCATATATTTGAATGTTGAGCTGCGAGCTCATTGGCTACCGACACAGGAGAGAACCAATCAGCTGTGTCATGTGATAATGATGTCATTAGGTGAGATTGAGTTAGACCTATCGGACTGCGCCATCTAGTTTCATGCCAGAACTCTGCATATATATATATATATATATATTAGTGCTGTCAATCAATAAAAAAAAAACACAATTACTTAATCGCACATTTTTTTCTGAAATTTCTGAAAAACTTCTAATTTAATAGAACTTAAAACAATCTTCTCATAAACCGTTTATAATAAATGTCATATTTAGCTTCCTGTGGCCTTCAGAAAGTTGGAGATATACATAAATTGAATAAAATGTGTTATTTGATGAACAGTCATCATAGTAGCTGGTTATTAGGTTATTTTGGCTGCTTTAAGATCTGCTGAACATGACGTGGATCTGACACGCATCATATTTTCTCATAACTCTTTACCTTTGTTGATCCAGTTTCGTTTGCGCTTTAATATATAATGATGCAGGTTACAGCACGCACCGCCGCATTTGTGCGTGCAATTGTTGTCAAGAAAAAAAGAGACAGAAGCAGCAGTTGTGAGTGGGCTGGCAAACCCTTGCTCCGTCCCTGCGTTAATTGCATTAAATATTTTTAACACGTTATACTGAAAAGATTAATTGCCTGCGTTAACACGCTAATTTTGACAGCACTATATATATATATATATATATACTGTATATATACACACACACTGTATATACATACAGTAGGCTATATGACAAAAGCACAATAAAATAAATGTAAAATTAAAATGGAAACAGGATAAAATATAAAAGGATAAATGAGTCTATGTATGCAACACTGAGGACACATGACCTTATCTGATTTAGAAAGTGTTGTCAATGAACCTTGGTTGAAGCATGTTATGATTTTAATACATGTTTGCATATTTTGTACTGTATGTACCTGGTATTTTGCAGCTGATTCCTTAAGCTCCTCAAGTTTGTCTTCCCTCTGATTGATCATCCTTTCCATCACCTCAATAGTGTTTTGCTGCAAGGCCTGTACAAACACACAAACTTACTTTGAATTCATACAAAATCAATCAATTCCTATTCAGTGTCAGAAATTAACCGGGCAGAAATTACATAAAAAAACACTGTGATGGGCAGCTGCGTAAATCTTTGAACCAGGAAGTTATTTACAGAAGAGTGTGCAATTGAGCATTTATTCAAATTCAACTATGAAATATCTGGTCCCACACAATCGGTTCTGACTTTGACTGGTATATTTTGGAGTATGAAAATCATTCCAAAACCAGTCCATTTGCTTTACCTGAAATGTTTACATAAATGAAATCAGGGAAATTGCATTCCTGTAGCTTATGGATTATTTATAATTATTATTATAAAAGCATCTGTCAAATTTAAATGCATTGATTCAATTGCGTTTTTTTTTTTTCTCACTTAATTGAATTGTTTGTTCTTTTTGGGAAACATTTCAAACACTGGCTTAGGTGAAAAGATTGGTCTGTGTTGTTTCCCGAGAGCTTTATATTCCCACCTGTCTCCTTTCTCTCTCTGTCTCCACAGGTATCACATCTCCACCCGTCTTCACATATAAGGCACAGATGCAGCACTCGTCACGTCTGCAGTAGAGCTCCAGAGGTCTGCCGTGCGTATTGCACGCTCTCTGATCCAACTTCTCCACAGGACTCACCAGCTTATGGCACTTGAATCTCGCCATAGACTGGTGAGGCTTCAGGTGTTCATCGCAGAATGACAGAAGACAGATCAGGCAGGACTTCACGGCTTTAAATGTGATGTGTTCATCACAGACGTCGCACGGAATCGCGTCTCTTTCTCCACAGAAGAGGTCTAGGTTGGGTAACTGAGTCTGGTGAAACTCTCGCAGGAGGGCTTCGATTGCTTTGTTCACGGAGGGTTTGGTGGTAACAGGCTCCTGGCAGAGAGGGCACTGTGGCTCGGACACGCTGATGTGCTTGTCCAGACAGCCCTTGCAGAAGGTGTGTCCACAGGTGGTTGAGACTGGATCTGCTAGCAGGGTTTTGCAGATGGGACAGTGAAGGTGGCGAGAGATGTCCACGGGTGTAGCCATTGTGGTTGTGTCAGCTGTTAAATTTGAGGATGGACGGAACAGCTGCAACAACAACAACAACAATAACTGTAGCTGCAACAGCAATTATGGGGTCAAGCACAAAGGAGGCATAGTGAAGAGTTAAGTAAGCATGGTAGGGAGCATCAGAATATGGTCGTGATTTGATATATCAAGTCTCAGTGCAACAGGCAGAGGCGTTGCCAAGATATTGCATTGTGCGGTTCATTATGTCCAATTTGATGAGTTTTACAAAAATAGTTTGAGTTATCAAAAAAATGTTAATATCTTTTTGCTAGCATGGTCTGACGAAGATCTGTGACGAAATGTGGTGAAGATCGGACAAACGGTCTGAAGGAGTTGGAAAAAGTAGGTTTTTTGACCTGATGCAAAATGACAGACAGCTAATTTTATGACTTTTGAAAAATGTATACTGTTGGATTTTGTAAAATCCAAGGAAGTGAGATTTTTGGTAATTGGATGAAATTCATAAAAGCTATAAGCATTACTGCTTATACTTACTGCTTATTGCACTGACCCAAAACTTCATAGGTACCTTTGGGGCATGGTGCCAATGGACACATATTAAGTTTTGTACCAATATTTCAAATTGTTCATTAAATATAGGATTTTATGACAAAATTCAAAATGGCCGACATCCAACAATCTATATCACTGTACTCCATATATCTTAAAGAATCCAAAGAGAAGTTTATGACAAACTGCCAAATACCAATTTTTCAGTTTTTTTGCAGCACAATTTGGCACTTTTCCTAAACTCCTCACATACCCGCATGATATGATGGCTATGAAGTATACCAAGTTTCGTCTCAATATGGCAGAGCATTGCAGAGATATAGCTTCAAGTCCACTTTGCCATGCTCGCAATCAAATTTGTTAAAGCATTATATGAGAATGGTTTGAACATGATGTTACTGTAGTTCTAGACTAAATGTCAGCATGCATTTACTCATCTCACTCGCACAAAAATAGATTCAGTATTCCTCAAAATGAATAAAACAGTAAAAAGCAAACTCAGAATATGATGCAAACCTGCAATAATTTAATGTTAAATAGCACAGATATTCTTTATGTATTAATCCCATTTTATTAACCAATGTCTTTGCTGCTAACCTGCGATGATCCAATTCAACCATACTACTAAGCAAACATGACTTTAAATAAATATAAGATTTGTATTTTTTTTTTTTTTGCTGAAGAGTGATGAACTTTCTTCTCCTGCATCCTATTCTTCATGCAAACCAGAGTGGCAACACAGTGTCACAATCTCTAGCAGGAGCGCCCATGAGCTCAATCCCATACCCTTGCCACTCACCCCGGACTCCATTCCCCATAATCCTTTGCCTGGACTCATCAGCACTCATCATCAGTTCACAGCTGTCTCTTGTTAGAAGGACTATAAGGGGCTGTTTACACATGGGCACATCATGTATTTTGTCTGTTCGGATAGCTATCCGATCGTGAAAAGACCAGGTGTAAATGCCCTCCGAAACGCATTCGAGACGGATATAAATCCGATCGCTCAAACCACTTCAGGAGGTGGTCTGGGCCGCATTCCAGACAAAACTGGACCAGTGTAAATGCATCTGGTTGTTGAAACCACATATGTCAATTTTACTCCTCCCAAAATGGTAAAATAATAAACGTGTGAGCGTGTTATAGGTTATATGACATTATAGTCAGATATGACTGCCCTAATACAACAAGCATCGCTGCGGACGAGTAGCAGACGGTCAACACACAATCATCTTCATTAAAAGTAGTAAGACAAACTTATCTTTCCAGTGCTGATGCCGCGCGCTCTCCTATTGCGGTCTTTGATCTTGAAATGAGCTGATAATTAATAAAATGCAGCGCTTATCTTTTGATTTAATTGATCACTCCAAAGAGAAAGGAAAAATCGAAATCGCATCATATGACCCCTTTAAATCCATTTTGCGACGACACATTTATGTGGCCAAGTGTAAATGGAAACGTTTTAACAAATCAGATCGATATCCAATCAGCGAAAACGCATGAAATGACCAGGTGTAAACAGGCCCTATAAGTTGCACACCACACACTTCGCTGAGTATTTTATAGCCTGCATGTTTTTGTGGTTTCTGTCTTGCCTTGCTTTCGTGTGTTTGTTCCTTGGACTGTTTACCTGTTTTTTGAGATTGTTCACTGCCTGCCCTTATCATCGCCTGTTTGTGGATTATCTTTTTGTCTCGCCCTGGATATTGTTGATTGATTGCTGGTGTTTTGACCCTGCCTGTTCTTACTATGCTTCTGAATAAAGCCCACAGATGGATCCCTACTTTGTTGTCACGTCCCCTTTGTTACACACAGCAGAATTATAACTTTTTTTAATATTAAAAACAAACAAGCAAGCCCAGCCTTGATGAGAAAAAGTAAAGCAAAAGTACCATAATGCATTTCTTTGGATACAAAGTAACTAAGTATCACAATTAGTTATTTTTTTTTAGGGAGTAATGCAATATTGTAATGCATTACTTTTAAATGTAATTTTCCCCAACACTGCAAGCCAGAATGAAAAGTGTCCACCCTCAAGTCTCTATGATATTCTGGGGCTAATTGCATAAACTTAGCCACTATGTTAAGACGGTGTCTTAAGAACTAGTTTGTCCATCTAGCAGTTAGCCAAGGGGTAAGAAGTCTTATTTTTCGGATTCACATTAGACCAAGCTACATTTTTATGTAAGCGTTTCAAAAAAGTTATGACCAGTCTTAAAGAAAAAAACTAGATGACTAACTTTTAAGACTAGCCTAAGCCTTTCATGCAACCAGCCCCTGTGGTCTATAGATCCCATCTTTTAAGTGGTTTATGTGTTTTGTTATGTGTCAGGTAGGGCACATTTTAAGATTTATGATTTACGATTTAACTTATTGTCAGACAAAGACTGAAATTTGACTTGCGTTACAACAGGTTCACTCACAATTGCAAATAATTATCACATGGACAAGAGACAGACCAGACTTATACAATCACAAGAAAGAGAGAGAGAGAGAGAAAAAAAAAAAAGTTTCAAGGCTCCGGTACAAATTTAATTTTTGTGTAACTTATTCAGCTCTAGTATAGCTTGGTGTACAAAATAATAATTTTATTCTAATTTGATTATAGATGGCAACAATACACTTTATACATTACACAACACATGATTAGCTTCAGAAACAATATTTTTCGCCAACCTTACAAGATTTCTATGATATGATAACTCATATTGATTTTGAAGTGGCTGACCCACTATTTTGGAACACATTTTTAGTAAATTCATCAGCTTTGTTTTTAAGCTGACAGATAAACTCCTATACCAAACAGAATTACAGTACTGCAAGACACTCATAATTACAGACATAAAAAATAATAAGAGAATCTGCTTTCTTGCTCCAAAAGACCTCAATCGGCGGAGGAAGTAGATTATTTGCATTGATTATTTACAGATAATATCTATATGGTATTTCCATGATAAAATGTTATCTATCTTTACTCCTAAGTACTTACACGCTTCTACCTGTCTGATGTTCACTTCATGTATAACAACAGGTGTTGTGCCTGAATAAAATCTCCTCTCTTTTTTTCTGATGTTAATACTAAGTGCATTATAATCACATCACTCAGCTAATTTATTACCCCCTGTTAATGCTGTTCTGAACACTCCTGAGTTATTTAGTAATGATATTAACACGGTATCATCAGAGTACTTTAGAATATATTGGTTAGACCTATTTGAACGACAGTCATCTGTGTACAAAGTGAATAACATAGCAGAGCTTACACAGCCATGAGGTACACCAACATTTGTTTTTACTTCTGTTGACAAAACATCATTCACTTTAACTCTTTGAGTTCTATTAGTAAGAAAGGAAATGTACCATATAATCAGATATGGATTCACATCTAACTGCATTAATTTGGACACAAGAGTATTAACTTGTGTAACTTCATGTCGAATGCAGAAGAAAAGTCAAGAAATAAAGCTCTAGCATAGGTGTTACTTTTATCTAGACGTTTAGAGATTATATGCACTAGAGCCTTGTTTATATGCGAATTGACACTCATCAAGTTTACCTTTAACATTATTCGCCAGATATTTAAGTAACATTCTTTCTAAACATTTCATTATTATTGAGGTAAGAGCTGTAGGTCTGTAGTCTTTACATTCCTTTGGGCAAGATATTTTTGGTACTGGTTTTAAAATTGACGTATTCCACATTACAGGAACAATATGTGAATCAATAGAAGCCTGAAAGACTTGTTGCCACACTGGACCGAGTTCATAGGCGAAGTCCTTTATAAGGCTTGGAGCACACCCATCAGGACGGGCAGCTTTTCTGATGTTAGTAGACTGAAATGCCCTCCTAACATCTTCAGCATCAATAGTTATCTACTATATAATACTATATTAGCTAGTTCATAATTACTTGCAGGTTCAAATCTTGTAAAAAAAAAAATATCTGAAGTTATGAAAAACAATAGTATGAGCAATGCTTAGAGTGACCCTTGCCTTTGCAAACACCACTGATGATCAGGAAATATAAGCAGAGATCAGATTTACCTTGTCGGAGGTATCAGTTCTGGATTCTTCTCTTCAGTGTTTAATTTCTGTTTCTCTCTCTCCTCCTATTTATGTACAGTAGAGTTTCGTTTCCACACAGTCTCTCTCCATTGTCATTAACTTTCATTCCTTGAAAAATAAACCACTCCCAGATGTCATACCACCAGTTTTACATTGATTTGACTTTTGACACACATGCATTTAGCAAATCAAAAGTAACCACATCATTTATAAGTAACCAATGTCCTCGTTCTCTACATTTGACACGTTTTATTTTTTTGTACATTCTCTCTCTCTCTCTCTCTCTCTCTCTCTCTCTCACTCTCTCTCACACACACACTCTCTCTCTCGCTCTCTTTCTCATGTTTTAATTTGCTTTTTGCAGCAAAAAAACTGTGAGAAAGAACTAGTGAAGAATGCATCATTCTGTAGTCAAGGTAAGTAGGCCTTGGGAGAGTGAGTAAGATAAAATATTTCCACTTATAAGGTAGGGAAATTATGGGATGCTGAGGAAGACCAGGGTGGATGAAGATGAGCCGGAAGTGTGCATGTATGGTAAAAGGAAGCAGGTGGATTTATAATAATTAGGGTTAGGGTTATTATTATTATTATTATTATTAATCTGACATAAGTGAACATCTAGGCATTTTGATTGTGCTTGTTTTGTTATATTGAAACTTGAAACCCCAAGTCCTCAGGCACATACAGTATATTAAACGGAAATGAGCATCCAGGATATCCGTCACCATTTCTCCTTTTTGTTGCACAGAATACTGGTTTGGTATTCAACACAAATATTATGGCTGTGGTGTCAAGCTGAACATGTTGTGTAACTTTTTACAGAAAATTGTGCCTTAACAGTTTGAAAGCAAAAAGTGAAAATGAAACCAAATGAGCATCTTGCCACAAGCACAAAAGCTTGAGGTGAAATGAAACTAATATGTAGAACGTGCAAATGAGTGATAGAAGAAAAGTTGCATTTATAGTGAAACTAAAAACTAATAAGGGAAATAAATAGGCTAAATAAATGTGAAAGTTCCACAGAGGCAGGTTATGATGAGTAGTTCACAACATGAAAATGTATCCTTTAAATAGAACTACTCCAATGATGAGCCCTGGTCTTTGATATAAAGGTCATTTAGAAATGATTAGCTATTTACACGGCAGACTTTGCAAGAGCAAAGACTGAACGCTTCTCCAGAGAGGAAAGGTTTTGCTCGTGCGCGAGGTTAAAGCATGCAAGCAGACCATCTCCGGGGCACAATAATAATCTTTTACATTGTTATCCTTTCATTTTTAATATCTGGCTTGTTTGTGTGCTGCTGCGCGTCCCTGTGTGTGTAATAAGCAGAGTGTACGCGCATTGTGCACCCGCCTATAGGTGCATATTAGGTAACGCGCCCTTTAAATAAATATAATCAAAAATACTGCGCCACTGACTTTAGACCAGGTTTTAGTTGGTCAATGGCGCAATAGTTTTCAGTTGCCACAAAATAGCAACGCGCCAACAATGCGCCTGCACACACCTCATTTTCAGACCAGCACGCCCATGGGCGAACATATGCGCGCAAATGCATTTGCTATTTAAACAACGTGGCGCTGGACGTGAAAATGTCAACTGCGTAGGCCTGAAGCTAGCAAACAAAACAAAAAAACACTTGTGTCGTGTCTGACATATAGAAGGAGTGGGGAAATGAAAAGAGGTAATTTTAAAAGGGTCATTAATTGAGAAATCAACTGTTACTTGAGCTTTTTATATATAAGAGGTCATTGTACTAAAATAATATACTGTAATTTTCAGAACTGAAAACGTCCTTGTTACTGAAATAAATGTTTGTATTGACACCAGGCCCAGCGAACGCCAGATCCTGGAATGTGCCTGTGACGTAATAGATAGATTAAACTCCGCCTCCACAGAAGAATATTAATGCCTAATTCTGTAGCCCCGCCCACTGATTCACGCATGACATAGTAAGGAAATAACACAAGTGGCACTAAACCGGATCGAGCAACAAAGCAATAGACCAATTTCAGTGTTTGCAAACAGTGATGACGTTTGTTTGTGGGCGGAGCCTACTCGTGGCAGGAAATGCCAGTTTTAATGTAGCAAGCCATGGAATAAAATAATAAAAAAGGTCATTTTGAGATTATATCTCACATTTCTGGTAAGAAAAATCAACTTGTCATTCTCTCTTTTTCCCCCGGCTCAGAATCATGAGTTTATAATCCCACACTTCTGGCTTTTTTTCCTTCAGAATTGACAAACTCGCAATTGCTGAGTTGAATCAAGTTATAAAGTTCGAACTAGGAGAGAAATTTGCATTTGCAAGAAAAAAAAAATCAGAATTATGAGATAAAATAGGTAAATGCTATGTAAAATGTTATATTTTTAAATAGTATTTCATGCTTTAACTGTAGGGCTTATATGTCCTCTATGTGAATATTATAGACCTATAGTTTAAATAAAATGTATGCTTTAAAAGTAGGGTAATCATAGCAGGTTTCATCCATAGTTTGTCCGTTTAAACGTCTGCTTTTAGCTTCAAATGGCATCCTTGTCGACAGTATTATATAAAAAATAATTTGTATTCTGATTCTGACATGCAAAGGCACAATTACAGCTGCTGCAAGTGACGTAACTGTGAAGTCTACTCCAAATGTGTCTATAAACATGCTGTTAAAGATTACAAAATATTGTGGTTGTGGAAGATCACAGAAGATCACATAACCATCCTTCGGATTCAAATATTAGGAATGCGTGGTTGAACTAAATTTTTTATGAAGTTTTAACTCGCGTGAGTAAAACATTGAGCGTTTGTTCGCTTCATTTCACCACAGATTCCTTTGTAAACAAGACACAGGTCGACGCTGGTTTTGAAGAGAGACTGAGATTAAAAAGCATTGCTGTGCGTCTATATATGATCCGATAGGAATGACGCAGCACATGTACACTGTAAAATCTAATTAGCTGGGCTTACTTAAAAAAAGCATGCAAACCGATTGCCTTGAAAAAACTAAGTAAAGTGAAATAGGAATAGTATGTTGTACTGACAAATGCTTAGTTAGTATAGTTTACTTACACGAGAGTTCTAGTAACTAAAAAAGAACCGTAGGGGGTACTTGATCCTTTCATTTAGGTTTACTCATGACTTAGTATAGCTACTCACTGACTCCCAGAGTGCATTGCGGCAGAATAAATTATGCAGTTGCTTTGTTTTACAGTTGTTGATTTTATTTGCCAATTTTATTTGCTGTCTTGTGTCAGTAGTAGCACAACAAAAAGAGCAAATAAAATGGTTATTGTCACAATTAATGAAAATAAATGAAATTGAATTGTTACCATTGTTGTGGTTCACGTGCTGAATGTTTAAGTCTGTGTGTGACTGTAGCATGTTACCACACACGATTTAAGGATTATATAAACGCAAATAAAAGCATCTCAGGGTATTCATGAAAAAATAAATTTGATAAAGTTAATTAATAAACACACACTAAAAATACACTAATGCTTTAATTAGAAGATAGGTCACGTTCTAAAAGCAACCTATTTATTACTTTTCTTTCCTTGAAATCAAATAACTCCGACTTCATAATGCATTACTGCGCCAACAGGAAGAAAATTATAGTAACATTAATATAAAGTTCGAACTAGGAGAGAAATTTGCATTTGCAAGAAAAAAAAAATCAGAATTATGAGATAAAATAGGTAAATGCTATGTAAAATGTTATATTTTTAAATAGTATTTCATGCTTTAACTGTAGGGCTTATATGTCCTCTATGTGAATATTATAGACCTATAGTTTAAATAAAATGTATGCTTTAAAAGTAGGGTAATCATAGCAGGTTTCATCCATAGTTTGTCCGTTTAAACGTCTGCTTTTAGCTTCAAATGGCATCCTTGTCGACAGTATTATATAAAAAATAATTTGTATTCTGATTCTGACATGCAAAGGCACAATTACAGCTGCTGCAAGTGACGTAACTGTGAAGTCTACTCCAAATGTGTCTATAAACATGCTGTTAAAGATTACAAAATATTGTGGTTGTGGAAGATCACAGAAGATCACATAACCATCCTTCGGATTCAAATATTAGGAATGCGTGGTTGAACTAAATTTTTTATGAAGTTTTAACTCGCGTGAGTAAAACATTGAGCGTTTGTTCGCTTCATTTCACCACAGATTCCTTTGTAAACAAGACACAGGTCGACGCTGGTTTTGAAGAGAGACTGAGATTAAAAAGCATTGCTGTGCGTCTATATATGATCCGATAGGAATGACGCAGCACATGTACACTGTAAAATCTAATTAGCTGGGCTTACTTAAAAAAAGCATGCAAACCGATTGCCTTGAAAAAACTAAGTAAAGTGAAATAGGAATAGTATGTTGTACTGACAAATGCTTAGTTAGTAAAGATTACTAATTAAATCTAAGTAAGGTAAACTATTGGATTTTACAGTGTATGAGTAAAACATATCTGTACTATGTGTCACTGTTGCTTTGTTAGAGATCGCTTGATATGTCCTGATTATGTGTACATGTCTAAAGTTACAGAAGGCTCCAACTATGAAGTTAGTTTGTAGTTAGTTTACAAACTATAGTTTGTAAATTGAAAAAAAAGAGCTGTCATTACTGAAGTGTGCAAGTTGAAAACATGTAAAGTCTAACAGAACAAACACAAATAAAATTAGTTCAAAATACTCAAAAAGCTGATGCAAATAGTTGCCTCAATTGTATTGAGTTAAAGGGGCACACTATTTTATTTTCAGTGCTTTTTTTGTTTATTGACTAGTAACAAACATCAGAATCACCTGATATTTCAAAGAATAGCCTTTTTTTTTTTGCAGCCTGTCTGAAAAACACAAACAAACCATTTTTGTAATAACTCCTTTAATAACTTCAATGAAACTGGATTAGGTGCAGTTTTTTAGTTACATGTGTATGTAGTCTTGGTTATTTTTGCCGGTTGATTTAGTGGTGGTATACTTGGAAAAATTTCTATTTTTTGTATCTGGTAAAAACCACTGAGCTTGTTCTGAAGATCTTTTATTGTTAATTCCTCCACTTTGCCATTGTTGTCCGGTCCATAATAGCCCTTCCCTGTGTACTGACTGTTCTTCAGA